TTGGTGCTTGTGCGTTACAAGGAGGAATATTATCTGTCTCTCTCTATATATATAAGAAGAGTTGACTTGAGTTAAGAGTGTTGTCTTCTTATGTGATTATTTTTTTTGTTTAAACCTTTCTCAATTATTATATTATTTAGATCTATGACTGTCGACAAAAAAAATGATCTATGATTAATTATTAGGAAATTGACAAAAATAACATAAAAAAATTATAATCTAAAATCTAACCAAAAACTCCACATTCAATGGTCATAATTTTATCACATACCCCCATTTTAATTACTTTTTAATTAATTTTTTTTCGTGGTCATACACCAAAATGATCCTTAATTATTTAGTTATAACACTACTACGTAAGCAACCATGGACATCTATTTAACTTTTTTTTTTGAAAATCTATTTAACTTTTAATCTATTTGTTATCAATTCATTTGTTTTAACTATTTGAAAGAGATTCATGGAACTTCATATATAGATTTGATGTGCAAAAGGAAACTACTTTCTTTCGTCGGTAAAACTACTTTAGAAAATACTAAACCAAAACGATGGAAAACAACATTAAACCAAAATATAAAAACATCTTCGTTTCCGTATAAATAGACATTTTAAACCCCAACTATGGCCAATCGGTTCTCGAATTTAGAAAAAGACAACAAATGGAGACGTAGACAACTTTTTATAACATCGGGTTTAAACTTGAATTTACGTAGATTCAGAATAAGTCGTTAGTCTACTTTTTAAAAAAAAAAAAAATTTCTTTTTAAGAAGGATTGAACTAGAAACACAATGAAACTAATTCTAAGTATTAGCTACTAGCTTACCATACTCTTGATAATTTAAAAAAATGTGATGTAAACAATACTTTTATATTTTTCTTCTCAAATAAAATGTAATGTTATCGAGAAAAACTTAATATAAAAAGGATGTTAATCTTCATAAAAAGTGAGTGAGTAAAGTGCGTAAACGACGGTCTATATAGGATGTCTCGAAAGTAGAGTTGTCGTAAAGCAAAATTTGGATTCTGTAACATTGATTCATTGTGAATAATAAAAGTTATTAAAGACGATAAGTCACCAAATACTCAGAACTTGGTCGTTGCTGACCGGTTTAATATTCCATCACCGGTCGTCCTACTC